TAATTAGTAGAGATATATATATATATATATATACACACACACACACACACACACACACACACACAGAGCATAAACAGGTGGGAGTTGTCTTACCAACTCTGAGAGGCCAATTAAGTAAGAGAAAAACACTTTTGAAGTGATAATCAAGATAGCCTAGTACAGACAGTTTGATAAGAAGTGTGAGAATACTTACAAGGGGAGATAGATTCAATGTTTGTAATGACTCAGCCATTCCCAGTCCTTATTCAAACCTGAGTTGATTGTGTCTAGTTTGCATATCAATTCCAGCTCAGCAGTCTCTCGTTGGAGTCTGTTTTTGAAGTTTTTCTTTTGTAATATAGCCACCCGCAGGTCTGTCATTGAATGACCAGACAGGTTAAAGTGTTGTAATATAGCCACCCGCAGGTCTGTCATTGAATGACCAGACAGGTTAAAGTACAATACAATACAAGTAACATCCTATTAGTTTTCATGACATTTGAACACCAAATACACTCTTGAACCTTTAACAATCACTTTGCTCTATACTAATACACAAATGAATTGGCCTGGGGCTTCAACGTGAGCTGTCATACAAAACAAAATCATGTTTACACATGCTGCTGTCTTGGTCCATGGTATTGGCTCAGATGACATCACAAAATTGATTTTCAGGAAGTTTGGGCACAATCTACCTTACATTTTGTTCAGCTCCTGCTCGGTTTCTTTGGGTTAATCTAAAGATCTTTCAAGATCCCATGATGTCTTCACCGAAATGTCTTACCCCACCTGCATTAAAAACAACTATGTCACATCTCTGGATTTGCTGCCTACCTCATTCATACAAATGAAGACTAAGGAGGTATGAGAAAGGGCCCTGCTCCAGAAGTAGTTTTTAAGAGTGGACATGTGTGGGAAAGGGAAATTCATGCAAGCAGCTGGAACAATTGGGTGACTACTATGAAATTCATGAAGTCTTATTCTCTCCCCCTCAGCCCCCTTTTTTTTTTAAAAATTAAAATAAATAAAAAAGCACCCACACACACACACACACCCCCTTTGAAGGAAAACCTGGAAGAATCCCTATATTATCTTACTATACTTCTCAAAACCCAGATCACTGTTCACCTATTAGCCCTTTGTTATGAATATTCAAATGACCCCCTTGTTATAGGTACAGCCACCTCAAGCAGGTATTTGGGAAAAGCAATTGAAGTTTTGCTTGCAGTGTTTGTCTCCATGCAAAATTGAAGAGGTTACATTAACAATTTTTAGACACTAAGTTGTCTTTAGTTCCCATTAGCCAACACTATCCCCACTAAGATTTCCAAGCTGCCAGACAGAACTATAGCCTGATTTCAGGGTCCTGAGCTGCACCTGTATTCATGAGCAAACTCAAATCTATATATGCCACTTGATGTACAGAGGTGGAAGGAAAAGAGGCCCACATTTCCTGCCATTTTGGGGATGTTTTGAGAGAGATGCTATTCTCTATTTTGGATAAAGTCATTTTGTTGAGGCAACATGAGTGACAGCCTGGTCACTGCTCATAACTTAGGAGCAAGAGGAGTTTCTGCTCCTAAAATATGCTCTTGGAAATTGTTAAGTAACATGGGGAAGTGACTTGGAATCATAATTCCTACCCTGAGACATGTCACCCTATCCACATGGGTTCTCCCCCATCTCCTTTGTTATTCAAGCACTTATTACTCCCAAGTATAGGACACCAAACCAGAGGTCGGATCAAGGGTTTTAAAGGTGTATAGATTAGAGACAATGCCAATATTTCAATCTAAAAGCAGGTTAGGCTGGGAGGTACTTGAACAATGTTATTAACTAGAAGATAGAGAAAAAAATTCAAGGGCATGCATAGTATTGCTTGGTCAGTTATTCTTGTTGCTTAGAGATACTGGAGTAGTGCCTAGGGCTCTGCCTTATAGGAAGTGTCTTTGAAGAGTGCCTAACTATTTTGAATGCTGTTGCAATTTTAACTAAATGCATAGAATGGTGTTTAGAGGGCCTGTTTTTGCCAATAGCCATGCCAGTGCAAGTCTAGGAAGGATTAGTTTTCTTAACCACTTCTTACATCAAGACCCAGCCTTTTCTTCTCCACACCTACTTTACCCACTGCTGAGTATAAACTACTCAAGGGACCGCCCAAGTTTAGATCTACACTGCATGATTGCTAGCCAGGGGAACAATTCCTCATCCTTACTTTTCCATCTGACTTCCTGCACCCTCTGCTGAGGCCTGATTCCCTCCCCCATACAAATGGAGCAGATACCAGATTGCAGCTGAAAGTCAAGTTTTATTCAGATTTATAACAGCCAGCATGACAAGAATCCCTGGTCGTAAGTAGTTCAGCTGTACTCCCCCAGGGTGTGCTTGTCAAACAGGTACTCTCCCATGCCATTCTGGGGCACTCCCAGGAGCTTCAGGTTGGTGAGGTGGTCTCCCAACTGCTTGATGGTCTTCACCTGCTCCTCCAGGTAGTCAGACTTCAGGAAGTCCCAAAGCTGCAAGATAAATTGACATTTTGTTTCAATCTCTCAGATCAGAAACAGATCTTAGATTGTTTCTGGTCACACATCATGATGTGTGACCAGAAAGGACTGAATACAAGTATTTGAAATCCACTACCTTTAACTGGAAAGAGTCCTGGGACTGGAAAGAACGGGTGTTCAAGTTTTAGCCAGGAGATATTTTGCTGGAGCAGTCATTCAAGTGTAACATTTACCTACAGCCCATATTCCACACACACCCCTTAAATCTATAGCTACCCCCCATGCATTTTGGGCTTTAGCCTAGAGAATGTTAGCTGGGAAAGAGCTTCATACTGGTGATGGTTTTTTTACTTCATCCAGCATCGTTCTATACTGTATGGCTAGATATCCAATAGCAGATGCCATTCACCGCAGGTTAAGTGCCTGCTAACAGGACCAAGGAATACAGAAGACATCACACACCATTCTCTGAGAACATGTGTTTTGCTGCCTCTCATCTCAATTCAATACTGCCCTTTCTGCTAGTTTTATACTGCACTGACATTTACATGTTCACCCCTTAGTGTAAGTTGCTCTATTTAGTTAGCAGTATCGCTCTTCCAGGCAGGCTCCTTTCCCATCATTCCCTTCCTCATCCTCTTGGATGGCCCCAGTTAATCCACTGGAAAACATTTGGCAATAGCGGGAACTTAACCCATGATAGCTTCTGGTCATTAGCAGTCCCCTGCCCAGTTCAGAAGTGCCTCCTTTCGAGGCTCATCTTAGCCGAGCCAAGTACAGAGACTGCTGCTATATAAAGCAGTGGCATGAACTAGGCCCTCCCTCAGAAGGGGTTGCTTTAGCTGATCAGTTCATACCTCAGTTAATTACTCCCCAGCAATCTTTCACCCAGACACCTCCAACCCCCACTTTTCTTGTCTCACTCCTTTTTCAGAGACAAAGAGCTTTGAAGATATTAGAGTATAGAGGGGCGGGGGGGGGGGGACTAGACAGCATCCATTCTATTGCTTTCAATGGGGGAGGGGGTGCACAGGGAAAACCACAAGTGGGCAAAAAGAAAAATAGTTTTAAATTTTCACTTAAGTTGTGGATGTGTAAGTTTTCAAGCTTTTTTTGGTGTGTGTGGGGGAAGGTTTGACACCATGTTAAAAAAAAAAAAGCCACCCTGTTTTTCTTCCATCAGGGAGACTTGTTGGTCAGAGTTCCCAACTATGAGAGGCAGCTTCCTTAAAAGACAAGTTGACTTGGCACAAAATGAGTAGTATACAGCAGTGGCTTCCAGACTTGATTCAGGTACAATCTCAAAATATTGCAGTGAAGGGAATGGATGAACACAGGGCCGGCTCTGGCTTTTTTGCCGCTCTAGGCAAAAAAAAAGCCACCCGCCGCCCCCCTCCCCCCCCCCACGCCGCACGCAGGGGAGGGCGGAGAGCCCGGCTAGAAGGCTCCTCTCGCCCCTCCCCGACTGGCCAGAGCGCCGAGGGGTGGGGGGGGAGGGCGGAGAGCTCACCGGGGGCTCTCTGCTCTCCCTGACCGGCCAGAGTGCCCGGCCGGGGCCGCTCTCCCCAACCAGCTGGGGCGCCGGGGGGAGGGCGGCGAGCCCGGCCGGTGCCCCGCCACGCCGCCCCCCTCCAGGCGCCGCCCCAAGCACATGCTTGGTGGGCTGGTGCCTGGAGCCGGCCCTGGATGAACATCAAGCTCAGATGACCTGTGGTCCATACATACCACAGTTTGTTAACATTTGCACTACAGCTCCATTGCCTCAGAATATTTCTTCCTTTTTATAAAGTGATTGGCCAGTAGGCCCATAACCCCAAGATGTTCTTTCCATGCAGTTTCTGAACCTGCAGTTGCCAACTTATCCCCTTTCTTCCCACTACCTTATACTCACATGGGGGTCATTCTTCTCTGTAGCCAGCTTATGCAGGTCCAGCAGAGCCTGGTTTATAGCCTTCTCCAGCTGCAGGGCACATTGCAGGGCCTCCAGGCTGTTCCCCCACTCATCCCGCTCGGGCTTCTGTTCAGCATTGACCAAGACAACAAGCAACAGTCAGTCTGAACCAACTTCACCACTCACTGAAGGTACATGGTGAGCCACTGCCTACTCACCCTGACACTTCTTCCTTGCACACCAGGGCATGGGGAAAGGAGAAGTACCCATTTCTTTTGCTAAAAATTGTTATTTCTGTAGGAAGCATCTTTTTGATCTACTCAATGGGAACTAGAGCTTTAAGTAACATGTTAATATACAAAAAAGGTAAAGGACCAAGCAGGATACCAGGACTATAGAACTGCATGCACCTGTATTAAGTAGATGATTTAGGAGAGCTGTCTGTTATACCTTTGGGGGGAAAGGTTTTGGCACATAGATAATTAACATGGTCTAAAATGAAAACTGCAGCCTCTGATGCCTCTAATTGTTGTCCCCCCCCCGGACTCATTAGTTTGAGAGAAATTTTTGGCAGAAACCCCGTTTTATATAGTTTCTCACCCTGATGTCCTGCAGGACAATGCGTCCCCCTCGCTTGTTTTGGTAGGTCAGAAATTTCTCTGCATGCTCCCTCTCCTCATGCGACTGCTCCTTCAGGAACTGGGCCATATGCCTCAGGGCCACATCGTCACGGTCAAAGTAGCAAGACTAGGGAGAAGGACAAACCCATTAGTGAAGACAATATTTTTAATATGGCTACAACAGACCCAATAGCAGGCGATTCAGAGCCATGGAATTACAGTAGTGCAATACACACATCCCCTAAGATTAGAGCAACTCTGGGAGAAGCCCACTACCACCAGTCTGTAGGAAGAGCAACTTCCCACATCTGTCTTTAGACAGACCCCCACACTACTACACTATTTGTTTTGTGTGGAGATCCTTGCCATTGATTCAGTTACCATCATATCTGGCATAGCATTCAGTTTGCAGCTCAGTCCACTACAAAGGAGAGACTGCCTGGAGGAGATGCATGTAGAACCTTCATAAATACAAACCTGTTTGTGGTTGTTGTTTTTTTCTGAATAGGGGAGAATTTCTGTAGCAGCAGCCATCATCCAGAGACTAGAAGTCTCTAGAGAAAAAGGAGCACAATTCCTTTTGAAATATGGCTACAGCTTACATCAGCATTTCATTGCCTTGAAAGAATAGGAGTAGGTCATTCAGCAAAAGCACACTGTGTTTTCCAGACTAGAAAACCAAGTTGTGCAGAAGTCACACCTGAGCAAGAAAATGCTCCAGCAATGCCCATTTGCAACCCTAGGCCACAATTATCTTCAAATAGAGAGCAGCAGGAGAAATAGAAGCACTCACCATGGACAGGTAGACATAGCTAGCATACAACTCCAAGTTCACCATGCGATTGACAGCAGCCTCACAGTCCAGATGGAAGTTCTGACGCACCTGAGACTCCATCTTTGCCAGTCCAACAAAAGCTTCTAGATAAGAATGGCACACAGTTCTCCACAAACTCTGTGAAAACAGAACCTCCACTGAAGCAAAAGAGAGAAACTATCTCTCCCTAGCACAGCTGCTCTTAATAATGGTCAGAAAGGCTGTAGGCATGATTGGCAGTTGCTGTTGGCCAATGGAAATTCCCTTCTCCAGCAAGGGGCTAGTTAACATTGTGGGTGTGGCTATAGCAGCATTTCCACCAGGGCAAGGTTCATTTAGTGACATTTCTTCTCTTGCTCTGAGCCCAGCTAAAGGAGCTGGGGATTGTAGATATTCTCCAAGAGGACTACAGTGAGGTCACTCCATGGTTCCTTTATGTCTGATAACTGAGGAATTGGCTGTGATGTGCAGAAAACAGCCAATATGTCAGATTTCCCCACCAAGAGCTGCTCTAAAGAGATGAAAGTGGCATCAGGAGTCTGGGGCAATGATGCCTATTGTGCATAGGATGACCATAGGGACAGTCCTGATATTTGGGGCTTTTTCTTATATAGGTGCCTATTTCCCCCCACACCCATCCCGATTTTTCACACTTGCTGTGTGGTCACCCTAATTGTGCACATGAGTCAATGTTTCCTTTGAATTCTGCCCTTAGGTGTCAGAGGCTTGGCATGATACATGTGACTGTTGTGCATCTGACAGTCCCTTCTCTGTGTAGTCAGACTTCTTTTTTGGATCCCAAGTGTAGCCCAGCACTGTAGTATGGACATGGGGGAGTCACAGGGAGAGTGGTGAACATATGACACAGAGAGGTTGCTGGGACAGGAACACCAGGTTGATGGCAGGACATATTTCACACTACTGCCTTTGCAGACACCAGAATTAGGAAAGCGATTGCGGATCGAGGTCCCACCAGGAATTGTCATGGTGTGCACATCTGCAGGGGGTCAGATGGGCAGCTCTTGGGGCTGAACAAAAGCAGCAGGTGAGGTCACATCTATGATCTAGTATCTGAAAGAAAGAGAAATTTTGGCTTCTGTACCTCTGTGACAAACACCCCTGCTGTCATTAAAAAAAGATGTAGGGATCCAAGAAAAGGCAGCAGTGCCTTCTTTTTCTGCCTTTTATTGAAGACTTATTTAAATTGATGCCAATTGAAAATATTAACCAAACTCTGTCCCTCAGGCACCTCCCTTCTGTCTAAAAGAGCTGGGTACAGCTAGAATGGCCTGGCTTTTGGCCTCTGGCTGCTGCAGAATACAAATAATAGTTGATAAATAAATTCTTTTGAGCAATTGTCTCAAGTTGAGAAAAAAAAGATTGGCCAGTTTGCTCCTTATGTCTCCTAGGGCAGTTTGCTTCTTCTCCACCCCACCCTCCCTTCGGTTTAGTCCCTTTTAGTGTCATTGGATTACAAACTGTGCCCCCCACACACACACTACAGCTAGTAAAACCATTCAAGTGTTGTCCATGAGGTGCCAGTAAGGAGAGATGTTATCCTTGGTACCAGGGGTACTTCTCTGCAGAAGTCATGACAGAGGAAAAAGTCCTTGTTAGAAGAGCAGGGCTGTGTTCAGCTTGGATCATTACATGCCATGCCTCTCAAGTTCTCCCTACTTTTTCCATTGGCACAATAATACAGCCTCCAGCCTGTCTTCAAAACTGACAGTTAGTGCTGCTGGTGGGCAACTATTGGCTTTCACCCACTGGTAAGCAGGATGTTAGTGGCAGCTTAGCACTTCTTCATAGCTTGGGGAAGACCTTTGGGGTTTTGCTGTGCGAATGGGGCCCTCTGAAGATTAATGCTCTTGCACTACTAAATAGGACAAATCAAACAATGGGCAATGGCCTAATATTTTCTCTTCTCCCAGAATAAAATTAAAAGTGCAAACCTAACTATCTTGGGACTGAACTTTAGCAGAGCTGCATTGAATTACATCTGCTGCATACCTGGCTCTTTGTTTACAGGTAAGACTTCCCATTGCCTGTGACCTGTAGTACCACAGGCCCCATGGGGTCCTGTAGTTGCTTCTTGTTTCCCCCACCCCCCTCTTGCCACTAGAGCAGGACCAGGCAGTTATAGCAAGAGATAACTAGGTACAAAGTTGTGGGACATAGGGCACATCCAAACAAGAGTAAATAAGTGAACCAGACTCCCTCTCTTTAGTAATATGAAAGTAAGTCACCTTAACTTGACTAAGCCCACAGCAGGCTCCCATAGGCATTTGGTTAATAACATGGCTCACTGCTGCCCTAAGCTGACCCTCATTGAGCATTGGTTACACTAACTCTACAGTTGTTTACCCCTACTCCCCCCATAGGGCAGGTTTCCAACATTTTCTAACACTGGGGGGGGGGATGGTAGGATCTGAATTTCATTTGAGCCCAGCTGTGTGCCTCTAACAGAAGCTGCAGGAGGAGAAGGACAGTTGGAGTAGCTGAGGAGATGTGAGGCAGAGGGAGGTGAACTTCTTGCTAAAGAGCTGTGGCACCTAGCTGACCCTTCATGGGGGGAAAAAATGAGTCATTAAGCAGGTCCCTTTGTAGAGGATGAGGCTACTTCAGAGACCTAGTAAAGGATGGAGGGGATGTAGTGGGAGAAGAGTGCAGTGGTGCCACACAACCAGCAGGAGGCCTTGTCACAGTGGTTTTAGACCACAAAGTCCAGGGTAGTACCAGCTTCAAGAAGAGAGATTTCTCCTATTCTGATGAAAGCCATCAAAGGAGACTAACCCCAGTGTAGTCTAACTGTTACTACAGGCAGCTGGGGTGGGAGAAGTCACAGTTGAGGCCCAGCTCTGACTCAGGCAAAGTGGAGATTTTAACTGGGTTTCCCTGCCCCCCATCCCAGCTAAGATCAGTAGCTACTGGGGTAGTGCCATCTTTGGGGTAGGTTGTTGTGAGAGATACTATTCTATGGCAACATGGAACATCAAACCTTGGGTAGTCTCAAAAATTTGAGAGGCAGGAGAGCATTTCACACCCTGCTCTTGCCATCAGAAGAAGTGGTGAGTAGGACCCTACTGCCATGCCCCAACATAATAGTCATCCCATCTGCACAGAGCATGCAGAAGAGGAATAGTCATCTTGACCAAATCAAAGACACAGGATAGTGGATGCATAGAACATTTTATTGTCAGCACCTGGCCCTAGGTTGCTACACCTTGTCTATGAAGGCCTAGAGATCTGCATGGCACTCAGCTGGTAGTGTGTAGTTCAGCTGCTCTCCCCCAGGGTGAGCTTGTCAAACAGGTACTCTCCCATGCCATTCTGGGGCACTCCCAGGCGCTTCAGGTTGGTGAGGTGGTCTCCCAGCTGCTTGATGGCCTTCACCTGCTCCTCCAGGTATTCAGACTCCAGGAAGTCACATAGCTGCAGCCAAGCAAGGGAAGGAAGAGGCATATTCATTCCAGTTCAACTATACTCCATTATGTTTCAGTGCAGAATTTTAGATTCAAGTAAGAGTCTCAGTGAGCTAGGGGGAAATCAGTCACCTCTCCCCAGCACATGTCAGAAGGGTGTGAAACATTACTTTTCAGCGCTATGTGGACAACTCCAGTTGTTAATATTGCTTCTTACACCCTCTAAGCAAGGAAGCTCTGTAGTCAAAGGATGAAAGCATCATTGCTAGCAATCTAACCTATAGATCCAGTAAGACTGTTGACAATTGTAACCATAATTCCCTCTTCCAAATATTTGACACCCCCTGCCCCCTAGCACAGAGACAGAAGCCTGGAGGCAAAAGAGTAGAGGGCTCTCTCCTGCTAGAGAAGAGCATCTCTGGGCAGATTAGAAAACTGAACACTGCATCAGCTGGTTTACATTTTCATCTCCCCCACCCCAGAAAAAGGGAGAGGAAGGGAGTCTCTAGGCTTCAAGAGAGAGACTTCCCCAGAGGAACAAGTGCTTCCAAACATCTACTCCAATGATTTTGTATTTGTCTGCCATACTCACATGGGGGTCATTCTTCTCTGTAGCCAGCTTGTGCAGGTCCAGCAGGGCCTGGTTCAGAGTCTTCTCCAGCTGCAGGGCACATTGCAGAGCCTCCAGGCTGTTTCCCCACTCATCCCGCTCGGGCTTCTATACAAACCCAAACAAAGCCATGAGACACTCACATGTTGACTCCCATTGCAGGTAGGGAATAGGGTCTACTCTCCATGAAGAAGAAAGTAGGCTTCCTTCATTTAAGAGGTGAAGTGGGGGCTGGAAAAAAATTCCACTACCCTTGTCTAATAGACAGTAGTAATAAGCATTTGAGATCTGGGATGCCAGTAAGCCAAGTGCCAACTCTAACAAAAGCCTTGTCAGCAGAGACCTCAAACTCACTGCTGGAAATCAGGCCAGTTCATTTGGGCATTTGTATAGATCAAAGTCATTGTTAATAATGTAAACTTCATGAAAACTAACATTACATTATCTGCCTTGTTCTCACTTATCTGTATGTTCGATGAATAGCAAACGTTCACATGGATACACCCCTGTAACTAAAAAACCCATCCAATGAGAAAGAATCCTTGTGGAATGCAAATGAAGAGCTTTCACAGGCAAGTACTAACCCTTGTGATCATTGTGTGGGATGATCAGTGACAATTGCATGCCCCTCTCTGCCAGGTAAAGAGCCCATGTGGTGGTAATGATGCTGTCAGCTGGTTTTCCCCTAGCAGCAACAGGTATGGACACAAGGGGGAGAACCCCCACACACCTTCATCTCTGGGTTGTTTGGAGTCAACAGCAGAATAACTGAATGAGAGGACTGAGATCCCCAGAATTATTCTAAGTAGCCCTGAGAGACATTTGGGAAACTGGCTAATGGTAACAGAGGTTACTATTAGGAATTCTAGACTGGGACTCACCTGTAAATGTTGAGAGGTTAAAACAGATTAACCAAGAAAAGAAGTTAGAAAAACTTTACTATAGACTTGGCTACTAGTATTGTCTGGTGTGAGATCTAGGGTACAAGTCAACCCAAGTGAGTGATGGGTTTCTTAGGACTGGATGTTTTGAGATAATTGGTGTAAGTGACCATTCACCAGTCCAGCTTGCCTAGATGGCAAGATAAACTGGAGCATCCACTTGGATGGTCTGTGACTCCCTTATAGGCTACTGTAGTGTCTGGGAAGTCACATTTAGTACTGGGCTGGTGAAATCTACTTCTAGATCACACCACCAGTTGGGGTGTCTGACCTGAGGCAGCACTCCCAGTCATTAGCCATTCCAGACTGACAAGATGCAGAGACTATAAAGCAAGACTGAACAACAAGCACCCTTAGTGGTCACCTTGATATCCTGCAAGACAATGCTTCCCCCTCTCTTGTTCTGATAGGTCAGGAACTTCTCTGCATGCTCCTTCTGCTCATGAGACTGTACCTTCAAGAACTGGGCCATGTGCCTCAGGGCCACATCATCTCGCTCAAAGTAGTAGGACTAGAGAGACAGAAGAGAACAGCAAAGGCAATGCATCAGGTGTTTACTACAGGTCAATATCAAAATTGACATACCAAGCCCCCATATATGGGCACAAGCCATCTTGTCTCCTTCATCCTTTGCCTTTAGCCAGGTACAATGCAAGTATCTCTAACTGCAATACAAGGGAAGTCTAAGCTTCTAGAGATTACTCTTTGTGCAATCAGTCTCCCCCTTCCCTTCCCCAGGGTCACATTCCAAGACATTCCCCTTCAAGAACTTCCCCTCACTACAACAACACCTGCCCATTACAACTGCAACTGTTTGTCACAGCACACCACCAAAATACTTCATAGTCTGCCCATTTCCTCACTAGCACCCAGATTTAACCTGCAAGGTCACACACCATATTTGTTCCATATTTTCACTCTCAGTAGCTAGAAATAAACAGGGGGGGGGGAAGGGGGAAACCACCACACCACACAGCACCAACAGACTCACCATAGACAGATAGACATAGCTAGCATAGAGGTCTAGGTTCACCAGGCGGTTCACAGCAGCCTCACACTCAGCATGGAAGTTCTGACGCACCTGAGACTCCATCTCAAGACCTAGAAAATATAGTGATAACAGCACAGGAAAAAATGAGAAAGCTTCTAAGCTCTGTCACCACAGAAACACACCCTCAAAGGCAAGCAGAACTTGCACTTGAAGACAGGTGGCATTAATATTGTTCAGAGTAGGGAATGCTTGTGATGGGCAGCTGATGCTGACCAATGGAAATTCCCTTCCTCAGCAAGGCACCAGTCAGCATTGTGGGTGGGACTGTAGAGAATGTTCACAGCTGAGAGGCTGGCTCATCAAGATGACATCCCCTGTTGTCATTAGAGCCACAGTAGGAGGCGGGTGGGGGCTATGGACTCTCCTTGAACAAGTCACTTAGCTGATAGCTTTATTTGCTCACTTCCTTAGCATGTCCTAACCTTGGGTAACTAGCTGTATGTTTAGAACCATGTAGGAAACTAATAGTTTTACTGTCATGCTGTTTACTTAGACACTATGGGATCAGTTTTCAAAAGCACCAAGTCCCACCTCCAAGAGTGACTGAGGCACTCAAAAGTGAGTTTCACTGAAAAGCACTGGGACATGAGCTCCTAAATCACTTTCCAAAATGGCACTTAAGTGCTTTTGAATATCTTATTCTGCCGAAACATGCATTAGTGACTTACGTTCCGGTGTTTTGGCAACACAAATATCCCCCTCACAGCCATCTTGCCCAGCTCCCCAGACTTTTGCAAAAACACAGCTATTTTTACCTGGTGCTAAAAAAGGTGCAATTCATCCTCTCTATCTCCCTGGGAGAGGGAACAGTTTCAGACTGAACTATGGAGCCCCGCCAACAGAAAACCTCTTTCTCTACAAAAACACAGGCCTGCTGGCCAGTGCAAACTGGTGCCCAAGTTATCACCAACGGGGCTGCCAGAGTTTCTTTGCCCCTACAGTCACAACACAGAGGACTGAAATCTCTATGGGGTCTGCTAGGAAGTGTCCCAAAGCAAATTCAGCAAGGAACCTTAAGAGCAGAGGCAACAAGACTGACAGAAAATATGATTAATTTTTCCTTCGGAGCATTCATTTTAGCTGCTGGAGGCATGGTTTGGCAGCGCAGGACTGTTGCCACATCCGACATGTCAGACATAGGAGGTAGGGATGCAGCAAGAGATGCCTCTCCCGCAGTGGTCAGCTCCCCTCCACTTCTGAATGCTAAGAAACCAAGGCTGATATGGTCGTGATGCCCAAGGCCAACGAGAGGGGGGGAAGCCGGTACAAATTACCGGGGCCGGGTGGTCCAGAAGGGGGCCTGGCTTCCCCGGCTTCCCCCCTCCCCTCGTTGGCCCTGTTTAGCCAGTCCGCCCTTGCTGGGGGACCCCAAAAAATTTTTCACCGGGGCCCAAACCCGCTCTCGGCAGCCCTGCTGATGCCTACACACACGTAGACAGAAAGCACTATTACTCCTTCCCCAGCAATCTAGCTTTAGAACTAGAGAAGGTCCCACCTCTTGTAACTCAATTTTTCAGTTAGAAAATCCTGATTGGACAAAAGCAAGAGATAGCTATTGGGAAGATATCAATTTCCTTAATATTTGAATGGGACATTATTGAAACAATCCATTCTGAAGGTTCAAAACACATTGTTTCAGTTTTATCCTTTTCACTTCTCTAGTAAGCTTTAGTTTGAATGTAAACTAAAAAAAAGTTGCATAAAATAGTTTGATGAGGACAGAGTGCTTATCTTTTGACCCTCATTTCCCCCCTCCAGCCCGGTTCAGTGCCTGAGTGTATTGAACATTTTTCCAGAAGCATCACAAAAATCAGCAACCTCTGTGCTAGTGGCTATATTGCTAGGGAGGATCATGCTAGTTCCAGAAAAAGCCAAAGTGGTGCGATTGGTTAGCACCATCTGATGTCCTAGAAGGCACTGGTGTTGAGGGTACAGAATTGAGCAGAAAGTGGCTTCACAATGGTTCTGAAATCAGGGCATTAATAGATATCCCTTCATTGTTCTGTGACTCCCTCTAGTTACATCACCAGATTTTCCCTTCCAAGTGGAAGCTGAGCAATAAGAATTGCAAACCAAGGTCCATCTTCAGGGGGTTCACTATCTCCAGTCACTTTTCTAAGCCAGCTCTTTGTTTACCCCACACACACACTTCCTCCCTGTGTCAGATAGCAATACTACTTATTTGTGCACTCCTCTTACCCCAGCTTCTACACAACTGAATCTGGGACTGGATAGAAGTTCTGTCCTTCAACCCACAAAGTGACATTGTAGAGCCTTCAGCCCTAGACCTGGCATAAAGGATATCACACTTAGTGTGAGTAAGTGTAGTTGGTCCATTTCCTACAATACCCAGAAAGAAATTACATTAGGGGTAATACAACTGCCAGGCCCTCCCCCAGGAGAGCACACATGGGATGTATATCTAGGCTAAGCCTTTCCAATAGCAGCCCTCCTCACCCTCTGGCATGCTCCCTGTGATTCCCATCCCCCACCCCCAGAAAGAAAGACACCTTAGAGATTTCAACAGGTTAATACATTTTATTCTCAGCACTTGGATGGCCATTGATCCAGCTTTACTATACTGGAGGAGAGCCTCCCATGTGCATTGTTCAGCTGCTCTCCCCTAGGGTGTGCTTGTCAAACAGGTACTCTCCCATTCCATTCTGGGGCACTCCCAGGCATTTCAGGTTGGTGAGGTGGGCTCCCAGCTGCTTGATGGCCTTCACCTGCTTCTCCAGGTAGTCACACAGCTGCAGCTAGAAAAGGGAAGAAAGATTAGAAGATGGGTTTGTTCCATCTAGGATAGCACCTTTGCATTTCAGTACACATCGCTCACCACTGTAAGGTTATGGTGTCATGTTGAGTTATGGGATCTTTGCCCCTCTGTCCTCCAAGGAAAACCCTCAGACTGTTGCATGTTGGCACTTGTATGTTTGATCTAACTAGTATTGTTAGCGAACATCCCTTCTCACAACCACAGCTGAGAACAACATTCTCTAGTTTGAAGGTTGTTCACCAAGGCAAGGAGATAGTAAGCCACTTGTCTGCATACCCAAAGAAGTCTGACACAGGTGCAGTAGAAGGGGCTTATTCCTAAGCATGTCACCATCTTAGTTCCTCATCTCCCATTCCCCCTCCAGACACCAGAGATGATTCTGCTGCAGCAAAGCAACTGGAGGGAAGATGTTTAGCCAAAATAGCATAAGGAAAGACCAAACTGATTCTCAGCTACAGAAGAAGAGGGCAGGAAAGCCCCCAGTGGACTGTAGAAGACAAGAAAACACATCCTAAGTTGTTTTACATTCTCTCCTACACAAGAAAATCCTTCACTCATCCCTAGAGGAAGGAGTTCTTTTTAGGAGAGCTATATCTCCAGACCTTTCTCCTGCCCGTGTTTCTGTACAGGAGAGTTTTCCTGAGACAGAGCATAAGAGTGCACTCTAACTCCCACCATTCTCTTCAAAGCTGCCCTGCATTTCCCTATCACCATACTCACACGGGGGCCATTCTTCTCTATAGCCAGCTTGTGCAGGTACAGCTGGGCCTGGTTCAGAATCTTCTCCAGCTTTTGGTTCACTACAGGGCCTCCAGGTTGTTCCCCCCACTCATCCCACTTTAGTGTCTAGTCACTGTTGATCAAGACACCAAACATTTAGTCTGCATCAACTCCACCATTCACTGAAGATACAGTGATCCACAGCCTGCTCCTCACCCCCATACTCCTCCTTCCCCAGGCCCTGGTGTCCAAGGACAAAGGACCCATTCCTTTTGCTAGAAATGGTGCTGTTTGTTGTTGGGGAGGGGGGCTTGTGCTTCTGATTCAGCAAAGAACTTTTCCATCCTGTGTGGAATTTTGGGTTTTTGAAATGCCCTTTCCTGGGCAGCTCCAGTGATTGCTTTTACAAGAGAAGTTTAATCTCTGCCAAGAATTGGTTAAATTTCCACTACCAAGTGTGAAGAAGTTGCAGGAGCTACTTGGGGTCAGAACCTCAGCCACTATAAACTAACATAGCTCCAGAGTGATAGCAGTTGTGCACAGATCCCATTGACTGATCTGCAGTACCACAACCCCACTGATGTTCCTCTAGGCATGTGTATTTCCCCTCCACCTCTTTCCTATTGTAGAATCTGCCAATTGCTGGAGAGAGACATATGACAGCTTATGAGGAGGAATTAAGATATTTTCAGGAACAAATGGGTGATGTTTCTACATATTAGCCACGGTCATCATCAGGTGATGATTTGCCTGCCGCAGTAGCTTAAGGTAGTATTGTAGCCCTCTCTTGTCAGATAACCATGCAAGTCACTTATGGACCCCACAATTTTCTTCTCTACTATAATAGAAGACACTGGGTCACCTTTTCCATTATCCCTGTGCAGAAACAATCACTATCCCCTTTTTCCTTCTTGTGGATTTGAAGATGCTTAAGAGCAGGAAATACATATTGAGGTCACCCACTACTGATTTTGTTCAAATGCCTCCACATACTCCAGCCCTAGTTGCAGGAAGAGAAGGAGAGTTGAAATAGTTCAGCAACCGGAGATACAGACAGGAGAGTCCCCTGTAGTTAATTCTGGGTGGAGGGCTAAGTGGTTAGAGGATAACTAATTTATCAGCCCCTCTCTCAACATAATTAAGAAGTTATTTGGAAGAGAGGTTGTCACATGAGCTGGGGGAGGGGGGAAAAGGGAGAAGAGAGAAAGAGGCAGGAATAAGGATATAGCCTTAGACACAAAGATGCAGACCACTATTGCCTTTAGAAGTCTAGATTTGGGCCCTCTGAAGTTGAGTTTCAGGTAGAAAGTTTGAAATGTGTTGCTAGCAGAGGAAAGGCTCCCCCTCCCTGGTGCACAGACCATGGGAATCACTGTATGTTGCCTCTACCTAATTCCTTGTCTTAGCATCCAAAATAGGATTCATCTAGTAGACTGAACTGACTATCTTTTCTTCTGGTTTGTTCCAGGACAAGTGATCACCAAGTGGTCCAAAATCCCATTGCATACACTGAAATCATACCACAGATTCTAGATGAGGAAGTTTTATTGTCAGCACTTAATTACTCTATACATCTTTTGATTTGGGAATGGAAAGGCTCATATATTCAATTGGACATTGCAGCTGTCAGTGCAGACTTCAGCTGCTCTCCCCCAGGGTGAGCTTGTCAAACAGGTACTCTCCCATGCCATTCTGGGGTACTCCTAGGCGCTTCAGGTTAGTGAGGTGGTCTCCCAGCTGCTTGATGGCCTTCACCTGCTCCTCCAAGTAGTCAGACTCCAGGAAGTCACAAAGCTGCAGAAAGAAGAAATCAGGAAGACTTATTCTAGCTCCTATGTGCTTAGTAGAGAGGGCTGACTACTTGACAGTTAGTAAGTTAAGATGGGAGACTAACTGTACATGTTACATAGAAGCAGGTAGAATGAGTGAACTGGAAGATCCTGGAACTAGGAAGACAGGTTGCTCTTCCTTAAATTTTAAAGGATAAAAGAGTATAACCTCAATGGCAGTTTACATGGAATCAGATCCCCTACATCCACCCCAAGTCATCATTAAACAATGCATACAATGGAGAAGTATTAGAGAGGATTTCATCCTGGTGATAGTCTTTGAATTCAACCAGGAACATTCTGTACAGTGTAGGCAAGAGATATCCCAGAGTGGATGCCACTCATTTATTGCACAGCAGTAGGTTAAGATCACTGTAAAGGACATGGGTACGGACAGACATTACTCTATTTCTAAATAGATGTTTTGCTACCTCTCATTTTAGTTCTCTACATTCACCTTTCTGCTGGTTTTCTACTGCATTGAATTTTACATGTTGCCCCCTCAGTTTAGGGCTCTCCATTTAGCTAGCCATTTGTTTTCAGGAGGGTTCCCCTTCAGTTATTCCTGTTCTGCTAGGTCCAGGAATTCCTTGGGCCCCTTTCACTCTAATAAGGCACAACTGGGACCGTGAGAGAACATTTGCAGTAGCTAGAGCCTATCCATGAGAATTATGGCCATTGATATTTGGCTGCTGAATTCAGAAGGGGCTTCTTTCAGAACTCTGATGTAAAGCAGGGAGGAAAACACTGCTAAATAGAGGTGCATGAACTAGGCCCTCACTTTGAAAGGGTGGCTTTAGCCCTCCCCTGCCCCCATCTGCTACAGGTATAACCCCATATTAATTCCCACCCCAATTAGTGCCCCTCTATGGTCTCCAAGGAGAGAGGAAAAATGGCTTCTGTAAAGACGGAAGCCATTTTAGAAGTTGGCGTGGAAAGTGAAGGAAGAAAACTGGGGAACTTAAACACTTAGTTTGTCACACTGTGTGGCCAGAAAGGGAGAGAAGACAAAATGTTTGAAATAAAGTGGTTCAGAAGCTGAAAAGATAAGGGGGCGGGGGGAGTGTCCCTTTACCAACACCCTGTTATTTCCAAAACAGGAATTTTAAGTCTGAGTTTCCATTAACTCCCATTCTGAACTTTGCTGACTACAACCTCCATTCTTCCTGCCAACTTATACTCACATGAGGATCATTCTGCTCTGTAGCCACTTTATGCAGGTCCAGCAGGGCCTGGTTCAAGGTCTTCTCCAGCTGCAGAGCATGCTGCAAGACCTCCAGGCTGTTTCCCCACTCATCCCGCTCTGGCTTCTGTGAAATAGCCACCAAGAAGGTTAGTCACAACCCATACCTGCTCTAGCTCTGTTAATGTCTAGGCCCCAGTGGGGAATCTGTCCTGCTGCTCTTCACCTCTATTCTCCAATATGGTTATGGCCAATTGGTCAGCAGCCCCTTTGCAATGTAGGTCATTATTCCCTTTACTACTAGAAGTCTCTACCAACACCAATACTGCAATTCTGGAAGAGACACATTTTATGTGATTTCAAGACATTACAGCTAATTGATCTAGCCCACCAGGACAGGTTAGTACTAAGCAACAGCTCTCCAAGCTTATTCCCTCACTATGCTGCTCATGCCTATGTTTAGATAGAAAAGGGTTCACATGCATTCTAGTCCCCTGTTCATAGTAAGCACTAGAGCCCATCACCTAGCTGACTTGATAGTGTGTGTCAAGTCTATGGGAAGTTGTTACACAAAGCAGAAATGTATGATGCCAAGCAGAATTTGAACCCTTTCCCTACAATACATCAGCTTTGATTCCAGTAGTCCCTCCCCAGAGCATCTTATGGATCAGATGCTACACTGAAGTGACGGTGTTCCCCATCCCCTCACCTCTATGTCCTGCAGGACACTGTGTCCCCCTCGCTTGTTCTGGTATTGCAGAAACTTCTCTGCATGCTCCTTGTGCTCATGGGACTGCTCCATCAGGAACTGGGCCATGTGCCTCAGGGCCACATCATCACGGTCAAAGTAGCAAGACTGGGAAGAAGTACAAGATTAATATCTCAATGCCTGGCTGGGTGAGTCAAAGATATTTGCTAGTGCAGAACTCAGTCTATACAGGCCTTAAATGCCACATATAGGTGTAATCCAATAACAGTACTACAGGGTTAACAGTTTTAATCCCACCTCTGAAGCAGTCTCACAGTTCCTTAATGCTCTTGTACAACTCCATCTCTGCAAAAGCATTTACCCAGATGAGCTACTACAATCTTTGAGTAAGCATTTATAATTCTTCCTATTACAAAGAAGCCTTAGCTACCTCAAAAAAAGTTTTACAGGAGTTTGTTGTAATATTTAGAGTAATAGCTGAAGTAGAAAACAGAAAATAAGATCCTAAGAACACCTCTGACTCACCATAGACATGAAGACATAGCTAGCACGCAGCTCCAAATTCACAACACAGTTGATAGCAGCCTCACACTCCCGGTGGAAGTTCTGGCGCACCTGAGACTCCATTACAGCACTTCACAGAAGAAAGGATAGTGAGCACTCACCAAGCTCTATCCACACACTGCTGAAACAACCCACCCCAGAGAAGACCTGGAAAGTGTTTTCCTCACAGCTGGTTTTAATACTGTCTGGAGCATGGTGTGGGTGTGATGGGTAGCTTCTGCCATCCAATGGAAATCCCTTCCACCTCAAGGAACCAATCAGCAATGTAGTGCCACAGCATGACTCAGCAACTGGGCATCTGCTGCTCTGAAACAAGTTAGAGTTGCTGAGCTTTGTGGATGTTTTCCTCCACTAGCATGGTCAGATGCCACCCTCCCTGGTGTTTTTGTTTGTATTGACCAAGAGATTTGAGCTACTGTGGAGAAAGCAGCAAACAAGTGTGATTTCCCCACAAGCCCCTGCTCTGAAGAGAAGCAGCTGGAATGGGGAATCTGCGGCTATGTGCCTACAGTGCACATGGCTTAATGATTTCTATGAATTCTGCTTTTGATTGTCAGTTTTGAATGCCAGAAGCTTTGCATGATACCTGTGATTGTTATGCTGCCTTGGAGTCCCATCTCTCAGCATTCTTCTGTATCCCAAAGCATATCATTGTAGACACTGGAGCATGGACATGTAGATCTGTTTGATCGCAGCGGAGTGGGTAGAGGAGACACAACACTGAGAAAGACAGGAACACCAGGGTAATGGCAGGACATGGTCCACACTGTTTAGCAGACAGCAGGACAGGGACAGAAGTAGAGCAGCCTAGCCTGCCCAATATAAGTTTTTACTGGTGGTTTCCCTGGTGGATATGTGGTATGTAGGGCTGACAACTCAAATTATATTGAATCAGCTCTATAGCAGGATTAGAGGTGGAAATGCCTGTGATTGATCTTCTGCAAGAAAGAAATTCAAGTCTCTCTGATTCCTCTGACAAACTAAAAAGGCCTATTTAAAGTGTATTTATTGGTTCAAGAAATGGCTGCACCTCATCCTTCTTGTTCCCTGTCTTAAGCAGATATTGATATTGATACAAATGAAATGAAGTGTACAGATATAAAAGAAGATCTGAAATCTCTTCCTCAGCTATCTCACTCCTGCCTGACGAGCAGAACAGCAGTTATCTAGACCTTACTGACTTTCCAGAACCACAGTTCAGAGATCTATTTTCTCTTCCAGTTTTCCAGTACTGGATGTGGTCTGTTCCAGCACAGGGACATCCTGTTACTTGTCTGGTCAAGGTCTTGTTTTCAGAAGCAGCACTGTGACTTCTCATGCCCTACTCATTTCATCTCTAGGAAGCAGGAGGAAATATCTCTCAGTGGTTGAATGACTGGGAAGCAGGAAAACTAACTGGGGATGAGGAAATAGATGTGCCTTACCCCCCATGCCACTGCTGCAAGTAATAAAATGGGGACCGTTGAAACACTGAAATATGGAGTTTACAATCAAGTGTGTGGGTGAGAGAAAAAACATACAGATAGAGCTGGGTCTTTTGGGGCACTGAAATAATCTCTATGTTCCCATTTCAGGACCTGAGTGTTACTGGAACCAGAACACTCCTGCATAGAAGAGAATAGGAAATTAAAGTGAGAGCAGACCCCCTGGAGCCTTCTTGCATAGAAAATTAAAGATAAGGGTATTAGCCTCTCTGTTCTGTATTGAGGGGTGTAGACAAACTCTGGCTGTAATAAATCCATTGTGATTTCCTAACAGCTATCTTTAGGGTCACTCAGTTCATTGTTAGAGGAGATAAAACAAGGATTTAGTCATGAAACCAGTGAATACATAATACCATTTAGGTTTTATTAATAAATAATGGCTTATGTCTGTTGCAGAGCCGGTACGGTTCTTACTAGTCCCTGAATTCACTACCAAATACCAGTAATTTATGCTTATGTGATGCATCTTACAGCAGATGAAGTCTGTGTCCAGCAACAAAGAGAGAATGGATGGTTATGTGCCTGAGTGACAAGGCTAAGAAACAGCAGCATTTATTTATCCACAGCCGTAGGAATGCATGTTGCCTTACAGAAAAATGAAAGACCAGCCCCATGTCTTCAGAATTTATGTGCTAAGGCCCTCATTCTGCAAACACAATGATGTCAGTAGAACTACTTGGGTGCTTAATCTTAAACACCCTCACACATGGAAATCTGTGGCAAATCTGGGAATTAACCCAGAACTTTTGAGTTCTATTCAAACGCCAGACACACATAAACCATCCTTCCTCTGTTGCCTAAAACATAGGAGAAGGACAGCTTACTCAAGTGCCGCAATTCCCAGCAGCCAGACAAAATGAAGGGCAGGTGGTGTAGAAGAAAGATTCGTGAAAATTTAGAGTGGGCAATAAGATTAATGACATTTTGCACCACATTGTGTTACTCAGCAGTGAGAGCCAGCCTCTTGGTCCCAATGTAGCTCTCCCACTGAAGCCACTTGCCTTGTTTCTTTATCACAAGGAGGAGAGAGAAGGTAGACACTGCCTATTTGTGAAAAATTGAATAATTCTATCTTCTATAAGGTCAACGTTACTCCTTTGTCAGGCCAAAGAGAATGTCCTTTGTTTTGTTTGCAAAGTGTCTTACACAACAACTACGCTCTAGAGCTGTAGCTGAAATCCACTATTCTCTCCAAGCACCACAACTAACACAGCAAGCTTCCATCAGTCAGCGAGAAGACTTGTTCCTAATTCTTGATGTTTAGATGGATACTACTATTTAGATGTGCAGACTGTGACTTGTCTTCATCTTGCCCTCAGCAGCACTCACACTAGGGTTTAATGTCAGAACAGACAGTCTGTTCACAAGCAAGGAAAATATGTGCCACTGTCTAAAGTGCACAGCAGTGCATATTATGGGGGAGTAAGGTGAATTATAGAGCACACCCAACTGTTACATGCTAACTGCCCCCACGTGGACAGTACTGGAGTGAATAAAAGGTATTTAGTTCACATTAACAATCCTCTTTCAAACAGGACTATATTCACATCAGGTAGGTACCTTTTAGGTCACACTGGCAGCATCCACACAGGGCAGTTAGCTCGCAACACGTTGGAGTGTTCTGAAATTCACACACCACATCCTGCACACTGCTGTGCACTTTACACAAGTTCTCATGCTCATTTAAGTAGAACCACAACAGCCAGAGCTGGGACACATTTTCCTTATTACCCCACTCCTGAGCAGGCAGAACCAGATAGCCAAAGTTGTTCTTGCAGCTTTTTTTAGCTCCCCTCTATCACTCTGCCCAGAGGATGTTTGGGTAGCAGGCTTACTTCTGAAACTCATTATGCCATGAAACATTTCCAGGGCTAACCCTTATCTCAGCTTTATACAGGTAAGTAAACCTTGTTGTCAAGATAGGGACAAGAAAGTATTAGATCAGGTTGTCTGATGTGTCACTTGGTGCAAATCAAAAGTATGAGATACCTGTGGATGTTTCCTTCAGCGTTAGTCCCTCTGCCACATTGCAGCTTTGAGACTCCAGACATAACTGCTTAAAGAGCACACATCTGCCCAATTTTTGTTGTGGAACAGGAGCAGATTAGTTGAGTCATTCTGGTTTCATTCCTGAAGAGCTAAGTAGGGTCACTGATTACAGTATGGGGAGAAACTGCTTATATTGATTATCTGTTAAAAAGGTCAAAGGGCCTAGCCAGAAGTGGTACTGATCATTCGACTCTGAGGTCACACATTCTGTTCAAGCCAATAATCTTCTCCTGTTACAGTGGGATATGACCCACTACACCCTCTGTATTAGCCTGCGGTACAACCTAATGCTGATAGCTCATTATGAGCTAAGAGGTTGAAGCATCATTAGGTAAGCCTCTATTGTTTAAACAGTCATTCCATTGTCTCAGCGGTAGTCATGTCTACCCCATCTTCTGTTTGGAAAGTTCAGGATACTTACAGCCACTCTGCTTCCCACAATGTTTACTTGAGCCTTTCCTCAGGCCAGGCCCTACCATTATTAGTCTCCAGTGCTCAGCATTACTCCGATATATTCCCAACAAGTCCCCCTTGCATCCTTCTCATGCTGAAGCTAGACTGACGCATTATGTTAACAATGGAAGCTACTTCATATCTGAGAAGCAAGATTTATTTTTGGATGGTAGAGAGATACGTCTCCCTTACATTTATCTTATTATGAGATCATCTAGCAACAGCTAAATACGGTCAAAGATAATGGGCTCCTAACCTAAGTTCAGGCCTCTCTTGTTCTTTTAATTAACTAATACATAAGAATCTGTCTCTGCAGCCCAAGCTAACGAACATTGTTTTCACACATCTCCTGTCCTTTCCCAGAGTCCTAGTACTTTGATTGTGATGACATGGCACAGGGCCCAGTTCTTGAAGGAGCAGTTTCCTTCATAAGGACAGGGAGCCAGCAGCGAAGTTCCTGAAATATCAGAACAAGCAAGGGAAGCAGACAGGTGCAAGGTCAAGGTTCTGTTGCCTTTAAGCCCTAGCTTCCTTTTCTGATTCTGTAATCACATGCAGGAGCATTCAGACTAAGAGTTAAGTGCACTGTTACGGGGTAAATCAAGCCACTTAGAGAATTTAAGACTTCAGGCTGGTTTTAAGTGAAGCATTCAGAGTAATGGGGAATGGTAGTAATTCCAAAGGGGAAAAAAAATCCCTACACTACACATGGAATTGGTCTGCTGGGTTATTGGCACCAACCTGGAGGTACTGGCAGCTCAGTTCTCACCACGTGGCAACATTACCAAGTCTATCACCTCTTTAAAACCACTGTAGTACAGCCAGATTGTGTGTTGGTCCATTTCTCTATTGCAGAGAGTTTCAGGATTGCCAGTAGGTGATGTAATCAAGCCCTAATTACTCCCTTGGTATAATCACACTTCACAAGTCATTAAATAGATCCTCCACCATATATAGTGGGAGCTTTTCCCCCATAAGAAACAAAGTGGTTTATGTTATTCAAAGACAAGTCCAGGCTTGGGGATTAGAGAACTTTATTCTCAGCATTTAAGGATTTGTCAAACTATTCTTTGCCCT